AACCATATATAAGTCCATGACCTGACTGTTTAGTCCATTGTGTGCATAAGGAGTCGTTCAGAAAAACAAAGAAATTGTTTTAGTTTTATATTAAGTTTTATTGCTTTAGTCAAATGAACTACATTTATTTCAGTTGTATTTTAAAATACTAACAAAATACTAAAATGCTAACAAAGGTAGATCTGGCCAAACCAGAATTTTGCACGAATAAACTAAACTCATAAGATTTTCTCAATAAACTTAATCACCTTTTTTGCCATGTTTGTAAATTGAAAAGATAAGATCTTCTTCAGCTTTTAAAATGTTTATTTTTGAAGAAAACCCCGATATCTAACGCCCCACAGAGGAACCTCCTTCCCATGGATTTGTTATTTTACGTTTCTTGGATAAATCCAGTTCTCAATCAACAATAAGCTTCATAAATGAACTGTCGTCAGCAAGATAGTGAAATGTAAAATGAGCTTTCCAAATTTTTTCATACATTACTGGACGAAGCCTAGTTCTGCAAATGAAGAATATATATAGATAAATTTTGTTTTATGTTTCAATATTAAAGTATTGTTTAATTATTACTGATTCCAGAAATCTAAGCTCAGAAATATCATAATTATGAAATGCTGTAATGACTGCTGTTTTATTTCTTCATATGCTGTTATTTTGGACAAAAATAAAATCGATAATCAGGATACATGTACATGATAAGAACGTGCATTAGTGGAAGAGCATTTGGAAAACATCGACCCACATACAAAAAGAAAACATTCAACTATTATAGTTTTAGATACCAGCTAATGTTACAGCAGTTATGGTTACAATTCTAAGAACATTAGCTTCACCATACCTCTCACGTTGACGTATAACACTGTCGATATAGTTTTCATCAGAAGTTCTCTGCCACATTTTAATATTTCTTTCATTGGATGCTGCTGCCTCACTGACGACTGAGGCATGTTTTGTACAGCTTGCACTTTTGATCTGCTTGGAATAGTTATAAAAATGTCCCTAGTAATCTACGTGACATTTATACCAAACAATAGGCACGAAATGTTTTCTCCATTGGAATATAGCAAACTACACGGAATCTGTTTTATAACGTTTTGAAGTTTGAATTACAATCAATTCCTTTACTACACGTCCAGTTACACAATTATATCTGAATTAATTTTAAATTTCTAAAGTTTTAGTTTCCTCGTGTAACAAGAATAAATAAATAAATATCCCGATTTTCCGACATAATCTCTGTCCCATAAAACACACAAGTTACTTTCACTCTGTCTACTTTACTCCAAATACAAAAATCATAAATTTAAAAGAGCACTCAAACACATTAACGTTTTATCGGTTATCTTCATTTTTTTCAATCTACAGGTTTGCTTAGATGACTTAATAAATTTTATAGATAAATTTACAAGATACCAGAGTTTTTCAAATAAAAAGTATACATAATTTCCATATACTTGAAGGCATAACGCTTAAATCTATATTCGAAACAGTGATTACAATTTTTTATGTTAATCGTAAACTAAATGACATCGCCACTGCCAATGGGCCAAATTTAAAACGAATAATTACATAATGATTAAAATATCTTATCTTAAAAACTATATAATATCTTTAAAAAATATCACAAAGTATACTTAGATCAAATGTTATCGTGTAGCAATATCTATTTTACTCAAACTTTTCTTATAGCATGAATATAATTTATTAATAAAGGAGGGGGTATTATATGCCCTTTTTGCTACTGGTAAAAATATTGAATTGACTTGTTCCCAGCATAGTATCTCTAGGCGGAACTTTCAGTAAATGGCTCCCTCTCTCTTAGCAACCATGGCCTTTCACAGATTCTTATCCTTTATCGTTTTCAACATTTCTGCTTTACTCACGTTCATCCATTTACCGAGACTATTTATGTAAGTCAGTTTCGGCCCTACCTCTACATTTTCCCTTCAATTCTTCCTGTTACCGTTTAATTTTCCAGCTCATCTTTTCTCATTAGGTGACCCAGGACGTGGCGTTTTCTTCTCATTGCTCTTCTCAGTACCATCTCATTTGTCACATGATCCGTCCAAGATCTCCTCAACATTATTCTGTTGAATTCTATCCAAGTTGCTTTGTAGTCTCCTTTCCTAAGTTGGTGAAATTTTCCAAAACTCATTGCTATATGCGAGAATCAGATATACATTACACTATAACACTCTTAGCTTGGTTCCATTTTCCTAACTTTCAATGTATTGCTCATCTTATGGAATGTACCCTTGGCCATACCAATTCGTTTCTGAGTTTCTGCATCAAATTTACCATCGAATGTTTTTTACGTTCCACAGATAGTTAAACTTTTCCACTAGCTTGATGGCTTCGTTATTTCTGTTTAGTTCACACGTTAGCAAATTTGTTTCTTTCTTATAACCATGCACTCTGTCTTTATCTAGTTTATTGTTAGACTCTTTTTCTTACTAAATGACTACTAACTACTATACAAAAAGCGTGAAATATAGTTTGTTGAAATAAAAAGACTTAGTATTCTCAACTTCACTAATTTCCTGCAGGTGAACATAGTAATCACTCTAAAAAAAAAGAAAAACAGGTCTACCAGATTGAGTTTTGACCTAACTGGATTGAGAAAATGGACAAAACACAAGTTTTATTTATGAAATAAAAACATTTTATTTATTTAATTGATAATGCAAACAAGACGATCAACTAAAATCAGTAAACGTGTTCACAAGAAAAAAGACGGAAACTCTTATCTCTGAATATAGATATACCCCTGTACCAGGTGAAAATCTGGATACGACTAAGAACTAGCCACAATGTTTCTATTTGAATAGGGTCAGATCTCCGAAATTGAATTTATCGCCAATTTCTCAACCATCCCATTAGTAAAAAATAGGGAAGACAAAATATTCAGGCATTTCTAAACCTGTACATCAGTGATGCAACCAGAAAACTCATTGTACAAGCCTAAGAAATTCTCCAGCGATACGTTACATTGGAAAGTTCAGAATATCAAAGGAAACTATTCTTGACAATGTATGACAAGTACAATAATAATGCAACCCAATCCAAATATAGCTATTTGCATGTTATATGTTTAACACATAAACCATCCCATGAAAGTTTATTTTTTTTAGAACAAAGCTACACAATAGGCTATCTGCACTTTGTACAGCACGGATAATCGAATCCTGGATTCTAGTTTTGTAAATTCGTAAACTTACCTCTGATCCATCAGAAAAAAAGTCGTGTAAGTGCGGAAATAATATAGTTAAATTTTGGTAAAAGAAAATGTTCGTCTTTCTAAACTAAAGGGGAAAAAACATCTGGTATGTTTCGTATACCACAATTTTCCTTCTCTTTTTTACATTTAGGCCGTCCCTAACTTTAAATCTTAGATATAATTAAATAATTTTAATGTGAATCAACTATGTATATGTATGGTATTTTATTCTTGAACTAGACAAACACACTTCATAACACGATGAAGTGTTATTAAAACTCATAGTTTTAAGGAAACAAACTATAAGTAACTTTGTATTTTTAGTGAAATACTTCCTACTTCCTCAATACTACAAGGGGAAATACTTCTAATTTTACAAACATTGTAGGCCTAGTGTACCCTTATGGTTAGTGTACTGGATTATGGATACGAGGTTCTGTGGTTCACGTCCCGTTATTACAAAAAAAAATCGTTTTCCACACTTTAGCACCTTGGGTGTGTTATATGAGATACTGTCAAATCTATTATCCGGTCTAAAGAGATTAGTTTGAGAGTTGGCAAGGTGGTATGGACCAAATACCTTCCCTCTAGTATACCACTTCAATATTAGAGACATCTAGTGCATAGAGTTATCATGTTACTTTGCATAAAAGTCAACAAACACAGAAATAAAAAAGTGTAATATTTTAGTTTTACAAAAATTTTATATTAATGAATTATACTCTTAAACTTGAAAATGTAATGTTCATTTTTGGCAGTAGGCTTTCTAGAGTAGCCATAGACTTTATAACCATAACTATACATTCTTTATTATTTAGTTTGCTTTTTCCAGGTTTTTCTTCATTTTGGTGAAGGCAACCCAGATTTGGCAAAGTTCTCCTGCCATCTTACTCGTGTTAGCTCAGACTTGACTGTTCTACTGGCACGTGGACCAGGTCTACATATACCTTGCTGTCTAAGATTAGCAGTGGTGTTTCACTTGGGTTGGAGGACGTAGTTGGTTGAGACTGAAGTTTGTGTTGCTGTAAAGGTACCAGACCAGATGTAAACGCTCTGACAGTTGTGATGATGGTAATAATCTGCTGTGGAGTAGTTTCCTGGACTTCTCCAATGGTTACTTGTCATTCCTGGGAAAGTCTTGTCTTTTTTTTCAGGCTTTTATGGTCTTACAAGAGACATGCATAGATGTCTTTCTAGTGGTTTCTGGATTCAAGCCGTCTTCTACTAGAAGAATTTGCATTGTGTCTTGGTTCTCTCTCTCTCTCTGGCCAGTTATGCAGGAGCTACAGTTAATGTAGTCAGAAGGTCAGGCTTGACAGCAAGCAGGCTCGATTTGGTGTTTGGACATTTCTATCAATCAACTTTTGGCCAGTGTTACTGGCTATACATTTGGACATACAGACTCAAGGATGGAAACTTCGGCAGTTTCTGAAAGACCTTGAATGTTAAAAGGTTTCGATAACTGGAAATCATCCTCCAACAATTGCTAAGCTGTTAGGAAACTTTTAATTATCACCAGAGTCATGGGTATCTCTGTAAGCTGATCAAAATCATGGAAGTCTTCAAACATTGGACTACCATTTTGTTATGATAAAGTGAACAGGCTATTCAAACTTCTGAATAAGCCATCAAGGTGATAGAAAGTAAAACAACCAGAATAATGTGATGTTATATAGCTAAAAGTCAGAATTGAAAACATTTAGCCAATACAGTTTCTGATAGATCAGAAGTTCAATTAGTAAGTACGGTTGAAAGTTTTAATTTAACATTTACAGCAAAAATTTGCTCTATGAGAAGATTTTAGATGCAGTTTTGAAACATTAAGTATTTCTTTTGTCATTTCTGTAGATTTACATAGATATACACGTATTATTACCTCAGAAAATGTCTTCCAGGAATATATGAACATCCCAGACTATCATGCTTCTTGTTGGGTTGTTGCCTTCTAATGACAACTCACACAAACTATCATCATTATGAAAACTGATTATATGTCTAATAAAAAGGAAGAGGATAAAACTGATAGTCTAATATTCCTACACAAGTAACTGAAACCAGGTTATAATCTTAGCTTCTAATTCAATCATAGTGCTCTTTGAAGGAACTAGAAGGCCATAGAAGTGTTGTTTGTCACACAACTTAAGTTAAAGAATCACAACCAGACTACAGAAATAATCTTTGTATTGCAATTGATAGAATCAAAATATACTCTAAGACAATTAACTAGATGAAGTATTTATCAATTGGCCAATGTGGTGCCTTCACTAAGAGTTGTTGCGACACTGCAAGATCCACCAGTGTTTTCTTGCCTTCTTTATAAACTAAGAACTCAATTTTTTATCAAAGCATTCCAAGCTCCTCCTATCCCTGTGCAAACTTAACTGATTACAACATATTTGGATACAAACTTATTACTGTTCTTTACCCCACTATTGGCCAAAACTTGATGTGTGGTCCATTAGTTTAATAGGATTGGAACAGTGTCAACCGTGGATTGTTTCCTACAACCCTTCTGCTTCTATTGTAGTGTTAGGTAGAACTGCAAATTTCTTTCTTGTCTGATATAGGTAATTTCATTTTAAATGCATAACTAGTCCACAATCATAGCATAAACTCCCTCCCTCCTATCTAATGCACATTTTGGGGAGGTACCTGCTGCTGCTGTAGCAAAATCATCATGGTACCTGGAAAGTCCCTGATATCCAAAGTAACTTCACCATGACATTGTTTATGGCAGAGTAGTGTTTTGGGTTTCACACAAACTTTTTAAGTTGTGAAGATGCCCATGGAGGTAATTATGGCCAAAGAGCCATTCCAACTATCAGTTTGAGCTTCTTTCTCTTCTGTAATTGACTTTAACTTGCCACTTCACATCTATTTACCACAGAAAGAGAATATTCTGTTAGAATGTACATACCCTTATCATTTATAAGGAGTTGCAGCATTTCACTAGCGAATCCTTCTAAAGTATTAAAGTTCAGGATATCCCTGTGTTCTGTAGCTGCCATAGCTGGATGTGCCTTTCTGTACAGGCAATACAGATCACCCACAAAATCAGACAACATCTTGTGGGTCCTAATATTTCGAGTTTTAAATTTGGTCTGATAAATAGCCACGTTATCTACTGGATCAAAACATTGATACAACTCAGCTATAACTGTGTCCCAATCCTTTATTTGCTCATCATCCTTATGGTGAAATTAGTCAAGTACTGGGTCATCCAAACTCAACATCAGACATTATACTATTTGTCCATCAGTCCATTTATTCCAGGCAGTTGTCTGTCTGAAATATTTAATGAAACGTTCCAGATGTTTCTTCTCAGTCCCTTGAATATCAGGGAGTTTTTTTACTGCTCCTCACAACCAGAGACTTGCAGTGGCATGAACAGATTACTTCACATCGTATCTCAGCCAAGATGCAGCTGAAACACCCACTATGCTATGAGTACGAGTTCTTGTTTGTACTCAGGGTTGTGTAGTACTGCTTTCAGTTGATAGACCAGTTACCATAGCAAACAAGCTGTTATTAAGCTCATCATATTCTACTCGACCCCTAGTGGTAGAGACCTTCTTTAAATAAAATGAAAAGAAAAACACTTGCTATGTTGCAAAGGTAGGATGTTTTCTCTTCTATCAGCAAGTAATCTCTTGTGTATCTCATATACCTAACGTATAACGTGCAGTTTCTTTTGTATACTCATCATGTAACAAAGTTGGGAAAGTAACCAGTAAGATAGCAAATAATTAAAGCAACATATATTGTGTTTCAACATATGCATCAACATTATTAAGAGCTATATGAAGCAACTTATCATAAAAATATGCAATCATTTTCTTATAGGTAGCGAGTTAAAAGTCTGAGTAGATAACATTAATACCAAACAAAATTAAATTCGAAAACAAGATAAAATAATTTTATTGAAACCAATGGTTAAAAACCAGGCTATACGTTTCAACACAAAGTAGTGGCTACTGTGAGTTGTGAATTAATGCGTTTATTTTTCTTTGTTTGTAATTAAGCACAAAGTTACGCAAT